GCCAAAAGGTGTTACAAAGTTTTATATAAAACAAACAACAGTAATTAGTCAACCTCATCAGAACTTTCTAAATTTTGACCTCGGCCACTACAACAGGGCACTCCTAGGTCGTCCGCATTCCTTAGACCTCGGCCCATACCAGGCACTCCTAGGTCATCCGCATTGCGTAGACCTCGGCCCATACCAGGCACTCCTAGGTCATCCACATTCCTTAGACCTCGGCCCATACCAGGCACTCTTAGGTCTTCCGCATTGCGTAGACCTCGGCCCATACCAGGCACTCCTAGGCCTTCCGCATTGCGCAGACCTCGGCCCATACCAGGCACTCCTAGGTCGTCCGCATTAATATAATAATAATAATATAATAAATTTATTTATTTCTTCTTACAACAATTGAAGCACATAAAATACAGGTTAAGCAACACTTAAGTAATATTATTGGGCGTTGTAAGAAGCTGGTGTCCGAAACCGGCGTTAACCTGTACTACGGATCACCAGGTCCTTACCCCTGGAAAATAATCTATACATAACAATGTTCTTCATAACCATATTGAACCTGTATACACATAATATTTATTCATGGTAAATACAAAAACAAAAAATTAAAGGTTGAGAGATAAACAGAAACGTTTATAAATGCATGGTAGTTAATTATTTTTTTATTATAAGCAAAAATTTGATCACTTAACAGAATTTATTTTAGATGGCTAAGTAGATTTTCTGTGTCTGAATAGCTTAATGCCTGAACTCAGCCTTTTACAAATTTTTTTTACAATCTCCTACTGTTAACGGATATAACATTAGTTCTTTATTAAGTTTATTGTACAAATTAATACCTTGATAACAAAAAAAAACATTACGTAGACCTCGGCCCATACCAGGCACTCCTAGGTCATCCGCATTACGTAGACCTCGGCCCATACCAGGCACTCCTAGGTCATCCGCATTACGTAGACCTCGGCCTATACCAGGCACTCCTAGGTCGTCCGCATTACGTAGACCTCGGCCCATACCAGGCACTCCTAGGTCATTAAATGATTCAAACGTCTGTCTACCTTCACAGCCGTTTCTATTGTATTCCTCCATATCTGAAACGGACATTATTTCGCGTACATAAAAAATAAAAGTCATTTTTCGTAGAGTACGAAGGGACAACTGACCACATTCAATCTGGATGAAATTAGAACAGCCTTATATAATGAAAACACGCTTAGAAGATAAGGTAATATGTACATGAGTAAAAATAACATCTGAGCACATAGGGTAGTCCCCAGTCAGATGAAAAAAAATATTAAGAGCCCTTTTACAAAATTGCGCCACTGCCGTACTGATCGGCGCGTAGGCAGATTTGCACTAGTATATATTGCATTTCACGGGAGATGTTTCGAGTCTTATAAAGTAATTAGTAATGAACTAATTATAAAAAAATATAGATATTTCAGTAGTTCAATGATGGTAGATTAGTTTTATGAAAGTTTTGATAGTAATTCTATTATAACTCAATATCATTTTAACAACAATATCAAATGCCTTATTATCAAATCATTAATAAAAATTACTTAAAAACATATATAAATTTAATAGTGCATAAGATGTATGTATATATGCGTATATCATAAAATATGGCGTCCTTTCTCTCCACTGCTAGCTCAGCCGTCATATAAAAACTTAACATCATTCTGAAGGCAATTTGTATCGGCTATTGATAGCAAACGGATTTCGATACGTAATATAGACTTGATTTCTCTTACAGAAAACGGACTACCCACATTTTACAGATGTTTGCGTAACAAATATTTATATGCATTGTTTGAACTAAGTCATCAATTTGTAAATTATTAACAGTTATAGTAAAAAAAAAAACATTTTTCAATAGTGATTTGTGATATAAGTGTGTGCATGTCCAACTAAATACACACGTACTGGATTATTCTTTTGTTTTCTCATGTAAGTGAATTTTGTGTTCTGTTTTGAGAAATAAATGTTTTAAACCAGAAACCATAATGATATGGAAAATTAAAATTCTCATACATTATGTTACAACAAAAACATATTTCTGACGTCGTAGTAATTAATTTGATCAATTTTTTTTTGAGATATTGGGGCATTTGAAGTTGTGCATATTATCGTTTTTCCGTAAACTAGCTGCAGTAGAACGATCAGTACAAAAAAAAAGAAAATAGTATTTTCAAATAGTCTACATTAACTTACAATAGGAAGAATAAATCTACTGTTTACTTCTATTGGAAATAGTCAAAATCTCTCTAAGGGGGTAAACGAGGCGCTCGAGGCTAGTTTTTTGCAAAAAATGTGAAAGGACTCTTATGCAAAACCGAGTTGCATTGATTACATACTTTATAGAGAAGTGCTATATCATATCTCAGTGTTCAATTACACAATGGCCACATTAATGCAAACTCAGTGTAGCCCACGAAGTATTCAAGAAGAAAATATATATATATATATAAACACATTTACACACCCTTTGAGAGTAGTCCCAATATGGTGTGCATTTGGACAACAATTACACGTACCCCAGGCAATAGCCTCTGGAGGTTACTATTAATTAATGCAAAAGTATTCAAGAGAAACAATAAGATTATAACTTCATTTACACACTCCCAGAGAGTAGCCCCAGTAAGGTGTGTATTTTTACAGCAACTACACGTAACCCCAGGGAGTAGCCCTGGCAGGATACATGCAGAAGCATTATTGGGACGTGTATGATCATGTAAAATAATAATAATAAAAAAAAAATGTAACGTTCTTGAAACTTTAAATATAGGAGTTATGAAATTAGCACTTATGAATGAGAAAAAAAAGTAAAATAAAAAATAACTTGCGTTTTTTTCTGGGCGTAGTGAGAATATCAGGATATTCTCAGTCCATCCCGCTTCTGAAACTATTAGATTAGTTTCCAGAAGTTAAACCACAATGTTAATTTTCCACTTGCTTTATTCAACTTGTACTTCACTGTAATATAAACTAAAATTATTATAACAAGAATATTTAGCAGCAACACCACGTTAAATTTTGGACCACTATTCACGACGAAGGCTCTCGACTGAATACCGTATTTATGACCGCTCCACTCGCTAGTCCGTCCCCCCTTCACGTCACGTGATAAGATGGTAGGGAGGTAAGGTGATGTGGCGTGATTTAGCATAGACAAACTAAGATAAAAACAATAACTGTACTATTGACCGATCTGTAAAAAATGCTAACACAACTGAGTGATCCTTATCGAACTATATTTAATAAACCCAAACTTATAGGTAGAAGGTAGTTACATCAGAAATTGTGAAAAATGTTGTACTAAAATTTGACGAACCAATCGTCCCAGTAACTGTTATATTTTTACTTTTTTATTTTGTCGGATTTTTTTCGACTACCCTATTCAATGCTAACATTGTATATATATATTCTTTGCAACTTGCGAAGCGGTATTGAGCAGTGCATTTAATGCAAGTTTGTTTATAATTTTTTTTATGTAGATAGGCCCGACAAATGAGTGCACCCCACCTGATGTTAACTGAAAGTAAAGTCCAGACGCGAAGATAGCAGATACAGCAGTTCTGCCTGCCACACCAGCCATCTCCACCCTGCCGGCCTGCAAGTTGCTTCTTCACGCCTCTTTTAAAGGATCCCAGGTTGTAAGAGGGAGCGAGCACGTGAGCGGGCAGAGCATCCCATTTACGGATAGTGCGACAAAGAAATGAGTCACCAAATTTCTTTGTACGCGTTGAAATTGTGGCCACAGTTAGGAGGTGACAACGTAGGCCAGCGCGCGTGGTCCTCTGAAGGAAAGGAGAAGGTGGAATGCGAGAGAATAACTCCTTAGAACACTCGCCGTGGTACAGACGATAGAACGCGCTTAGTGACGCCACATCACGGCGTAATTGAAGAGGCTCAAGGTGTTTAGTCACCTCCTCATCGCCTATGATGCGGATCGCGCGCCGCTGTAACCTATCCAAAGCATCGAGCAAGTTCTTTGATATTAGGCATCGTTGTGCCACAATGGGGTAATGATGGTGGCAGTGCAATGAATGAAGTCCCGATAATATTGGCCACTACAGAGGACATGGTGTCCATAACGAAAAAATAGTCTGATATGATGATTTGATGGGAAAAATGTATAACAGCAAAGAAGAAGAACCAGTTATTTTACATACTTTGTCCTACGGATTTATCGATTAGGTAACATTCTAGTAGACTATGAATGTTAGAAAAAAAACTTAGAATAATAAAAAGTTAATTTCTTTGGTTACTTACAAAATTCTGATCTTTTTTTGTGTGTAGAATTCCTTAGTATGAAAAACCTAATAAAGTGTGACAATTCCTAACTTTGCTGAAAATTTGTCACTTAAAAACGTCATTTTATGTTGAAATTATGTATTATATAGTGAAAACACTCTTAAAAACATCTTTAAAACTTCTAAAAACAAAACTTACACAATTCTCGGCACTCAATCAAATACAAATTATAAACACATAGGTAGTATTTTCTTGGATACGCGTTATGGCTTATTCTTCAGGTGTCCAGATTGAGTGATCCAGTTAATTAGTTCTAACTTTCTTTGTTTAGGTTTCACAAATTTTATACCTTACCATTAAGTTTTCACAATTATTTCCTAAATCCTCTTATAATTTGGTTGTGATTGGATGAGTTTTTTGAAAAGATCACTCAGTCCACACGCACATTTGTCCGAAATGCGCGCCAGCCCTTGGATCCCCTGAGGCGTCGATGAGGCGTGTGGAAATCTCCTTAAATAGCTGACGGGCCTCCGCACCCCAAGGGCCCAGGGTCTCCACGGCAAAAGGTGCAAATATATACGGCTCTCCCAAGGCCCCATATTTACGACTTTTATTGGTTTCGGCTGTCGCCGCAGCTGAGCCGGCTTTGCGAGCGGTCGCTCTCACGTGAGATGGGGCAACAGTGTCCACGCATGTGGCATCCCACACGAGTGACCGAATATTAATTAATATTGTTTTATTTCCAGGAGACCTTCCGTCGGAGAATGTGCAGCAACCTGAAGTGAGCTTATCATACAATCCCGAAGAGGTCATACCCCTGAAGTACTCCACTAACCTAGCGCATGAGAATGAAGCTGGATTAGTAGCGGAGGAAGGGTATGTAAAAAAATTAATGCCCATCTTTTACATGTTAAAGGTTGAGAGAATTCTCATTGAGACACACGACAGGTTTAAAGTGATGATATACCTTTCGAGATCAAGTTTAAGTACTAAGTTAACATAATAATAATAATAATATTCTTTACTAGTGGTCCGCCCTCGCTTCGCTTCGGTGTAGAGCTGTAGTGTAAACTATAATTTTTGTTCTCAGGCTTGTGCTATAAACAATGACTTTATTTATATAATTACACGTGTTATTGTGGGTCAACCATAAAAGATAGACATATGCTGTTGTGGGATATTTTTTTGACAATTTTATGTAGAATATTTCCGTCATACATGATTTCTATGTAACTTTAACCATTAAGGCTGCACACGCGACGGAAGCTTAAAAAATGGAGTAACTTCTCCCGTTTTCCCAACATTTCCATTCACTACTCTGCTGCTATTGATTGTAGCGTGATGAAAAGTATACTATAACCTGCCCAGGAGTATGAAGAATAATTGTACCAAGTTTCGTTAAAATCCGTCGAGTAGTTTTTGTTTCTATAAGGAACATACACACAGACAGACAGACAAAAATTTTACTGATTGCATTTTTGGCATCAGTATCGATCACTAATCACCCCCTGATAGTTATTTTGAAAATATATTTCATGTACAGAATTGACCTCTCTACAGATTTATTATAAGTATAGATTGTAATACACCATACAAGAAAACACAAGTAAATTAAAAAACATGATAGATAGAACGTACACAATATAGGCGGCCTTATTGCTAGGCAGCAATCTCTTCCAGGCAACCCATAATAGAAAGATAAATAAATATGAAGGAGAAAAGGAGGGGTGTTAGAGAAAATAATAATAATATCAATTGCAGGAAAACAGATATATCTAAGGAAGGAAAGAGAGGATGAAGGAAATTTTTTACATCACTGTTGGGATAAGAAATAACTCCGAACTTGATCCCTGAACGAGTTCAGAGTGCGAGCCCTTCGAATAGTTTCTGGCAAAGAGTTCCATAGACGTACAGAATGCACAGAGAAGGAATAGGAAAAGAAATCAGTAGATATATAGAGACATATTTTCTTGTTGAAATAAGTTTGAAAAAGTAATTGTGCCACACCAACTGAAATCTCACTAGTAATTAGTACTATAAAATAGCTATATTTTGATAAATAATAATAATAGACGTTTCTTGACTTTAAGCAAGTAATAATACACAATATTTCTAAACTAAAAGACTAAAATCATTATAACTATTAATGGGATTGTTATCATGTACCTTGTTTTTTATCTCCGATATTTCGGCACTGTTGCAAGCGCCATGATCACGGAGTAACTGAATTGAATTCCTTGGAACCTTGAATATCGAAGACTCATAAAAAACAAGGTACATGGTAACAATCCCGTTAATAGTTATAATGTTAGTGACCATGAAAGTTTAAAACAATATAATACTAAAATCAGTAATGAAGCTAATATTCGTGGACCTCCAATGCGGTGAGAGACATGCGTCTAGGCCGGAAGCTGTTAGAACTCCACGACCTCACCGCACTGACGGCTTTAGCCATAAGACAGTAACTGAAATCCCAGAGTCCATAACAATCGTTCTAGCATTTTATAATACATCATATTATATTTATATAGATCGATAAACCAGACTATTTTAAGCTGACAGACTCATAAAACGGATTATATCAAGAAATCTTATAGAAATTATCTAGTTAACGAAACTGATTTTTTAATAGTTTAGTGCGTTATACATAATAAGAGAAATTGCACATTCAACCTCTTAAGGAATCATGCAGATATTTTCAGTTATTGAAACTCTTATTTAACATATTCACCTTCATCATCCAACTGCCCACATAGTTTAATGTAATACACATATACCAAACAACTAATGAAGCTAATAACACCCCTAATATTCCAGTTTCCCAGTCTATAACTAAGAACTTTGTAATGTGAAAGAAAATAAGCAAAGAAAACACATGTTAAGAGTCATCATCATCGTCATGATCAGCCTATTAATATCCCCACTGCTGGGGCACAGGCCTTCCCTATGGATGGAATAGGGAGATTGGGCCATGACCCACCACGCGGGCCCAGTGCGGATTGGCATGTTAGAGTACCAACCCCCGATAGAAGAAATAAGCATAATACTAGACTAGGCGGTAATACCAACCGTTGGTGTGTGTGTGAGGAAGTATACGAGAAAGACAAAAAATGCAGAATAAAAGTACGAGAAGAATACAAGCGAGAACTGGAATGAAAAAGTAAAGAAGTTTTCATAGCAAAATAGCTTAAAAACGTACTGCCACTGAGTGGGGAGCGGTAGAAAAAAATCAGTTTCATCGGCCTCCAATGCGTATTGTTTAGGAGGAAGCTGAAGAACTCCTTGACGTCATAGAGCTGATGACGGCATCAGCTTAAAAGCACCGACTAGAGTCTCACAGTCCATTACAATCATCCTATCCTCTTACGATACACAGCTTCAATAGAAATAATTTAGGAGAAAACTCATCAAAATTTATTAAGGTTTCATCCAGAAATTGACAAGTTGACAAAACACCTATCTATTCTATTCAACTTCATTATCAAATTGCCAGAATAGCTTAATATGATGATGTCATCATCATCATCAGCCTATTAATATTCCCACTGCTAGGGCACAGGCCTTCCCTATAATAGGAATAGGGAGATTGGGCCGTGACCCAACACGCAGGCCCAGTGCGGATTGGCGGGTGCTAACGACTGCAGATGCAGCCGGGACTAACGGCTTAACGTGCTTTCCGAAGCACGGAGAAACTCGAGATAGAAGATTTTTGGTCATCCATCCAATGACCGACCACTGCGAAAGTTGCTTAACTTCAACGATCGCGCTAACCACCTGCGCTATCGACCTCATCGATCCATCATGATGATATGCCTTATCTTTGATAAAGCTAGCAATACCTCTAATATTCCAGCTTCATCGACCTCCAATGCGTGAAGGACATGCGTTTAGGAGGGAAGCTGTTAGAACCCCGTGACGTCACTGAACTGACTGCGTCCGCCCGGAGACACGGGCTGGAGGCCCACAGTCCGCACATCATTAGCCTTGTCTACGGGAAAACGCTTAGCGACAACAGGACTGTCCACTTCGTGTTGCCTTCTTATTCTTACAAGTAAGGCTTTCATCATCATTGACAGACTCATATTTTTGTGTTTCCACCATGTTATGCTTCAGTTAAATTTTCACAAGTAACGATGTAGTTTTCACAAGTAACAACGATTCAACCTTAAGGTGGCTGTAATAATAAGCCCAAATTGCCGCGTAGAAAAGGAAATATAGGGCGATATATGAGGACCTCGGATGTTACTCAATCAAAACCTGCGTATAGTTGCGCTCGTCGGTAATTTCACAGCCGCCATAAGATTTAAATCGTTAATTTTATCATCATCATTGTGAGATTATTATTATCTCCATCTGTAAGGCACAGGCCTTCCCTATAAATGGAGGAGAATGAATGGGCCATGACCCACTAAGTGGGACCAGAGCTTGGTGGATGCTATCATCTAAAGAAGCAGCTGAACCAACAGCGTAAGGAGAAATGACCACTAACCGAATTCTAATAAATACATCAGCAGTTTTCATCTGAACTGAAGCTTGAACCATGGACTTGACTAGAAATTCGAAATAAAAAAATTTGGTCAGCAATCCTTTTTTTTATTTTAATGCTTAGTAGGCAAGGCGTTTGACCACAATCTCGCCTGATGGAAAGCGATGATGAGGCCTAAGATGGTACACGCCTGCCTAGAAGATGCCTATTCTCTTTGGCCTTGAAGATGTCCAGATTATATTGGTCCGGGAAAACAGACCTCGGCAAGGAGTTCCACTCCCTAGCCGTTTGTAATCCTTTCACTGTACTGGGAGAAAGATGTTTAAAAATGCCATCGAACATCTTGGAATAGGGTATTTGACAGTATTAAAAATAAATTGTTAGCATCTGTATTATGAGTAAACATTGGCAGGAGTTTTTACTATTTTTACAAAAAAAATATTCATTATTTTACTAAAAACCCACGATAAAGATAATAGTTTTCTTGTCTATTGGATTAGTGGAACCTAAAATGACGTCACACGCAAGTAAACTTTCGGTTAAAGTGACATTTGATTGTATGGTTTGACGTTTTAATGACAGTCGTGTGACGTGACACACCAGTGAGACGCCATATTGTCCAGAGATACGTTTTTCGCGGCAACTAGAAAATAGAGTTTTTGATTTGGTTTTTTTACCGAAATACACAACATAATGATGAATATCCATTTCGCTTCGCTTTTTATGGACTCTATAAACATTAGTAAATAACGTGAGATCATTTTCTAAAACTTGTCAAATACCCTATAAGTTGTACCTGTTTTATTTTCAGAGTTTGGGCTGTAGGCCTCCATTCTGTGATCAGGGCGTTAATGAGCCAAGCCAAGCTGGCAGACAGGAGTCTGGCGTGGCTCAAGAACAAATACACGGCGTTGTACTACGAGGATGGATGCTGCTGCGAACCATTAGTCTCCGATGCTATAAGGGTACGTGAATCAACGAAAAGATTGTTCTTACAAGCATTCCCTATGCAGGGTTATTGGAAATATGACTTATTCCTAGAATGGTAATGGTAATAAAATACGTGATGTTAGGATTGTTATTATGCAAAAGTACTAGTTTGACTGTGGATCTGTATTGTCTTGTGGTGACTTGTATTTTTAGTAAATATTGAATGCGTATTGTGAGTTATTTTTTAAACAAAAGTTTTCCATTATCAGACCGTGTATGACAAAATATAGTAGCTGTACACGTTTAGCAGCTTGGTATGCTGTAACTTCCCTTGGCCATCACGTTGCTCCTTTTACGTTGTGCAGGTTCGATGTTGGTGGCTTGGCGAGTGCGTTTCTCGTAAATAAAATTCATTGATTCTATTATACAGTATTTACTTGTGCTTCACAAAATAGGTAGTCAATACATTGGAGTCACTGCTACTAGTTACTTCAATGTAATTACATGAGAATTCTATAAAATATGGCGTCTACGCCGGTAATGTGTCTCTCAGGTGCGTAAAATTTGCTGCACTGTACCTGTGAGGTTTGCCGTCCAAATATTTTTGGATCAACACAAAGTCAATATACTTACTTCTCTGTCACTTATACTACATGTCACCTACAATCTACTGGGTCGAACTAAGCTTTTTCGGACTAAAAGTTTAAGGGTTGGGCACCCAAAGGGTAACACCGGAACCTTAGTAATAAGCCATCAATGTACATCCAGAAACGCAAAATATATTTCATATTTTTTTTTCAGGTTTTTGGCGGAAGGGAATCTGTTTGCGGCAGTTCATCCCATTCCACCCCAGTCAAAGGCGTGTTCACTGATTCACACTCAGACTCTATCAAAAGTGCCGGTATTAAGTTTAAGGTAAGCGCCTACCGTCCTAGTAATTGGGTTCAAATTGGCATGACTTTTGGGAGGAACTAATGATATAACCTGGAAGCTCTGGAGGTTGTGTGCAAAGAACCTTCGTGGAGCAAAATTATCGTTAACATGTTTATCATTATAAAGGTAACTTACTTGAGCTGCTTAAAAAATATCTAAAATTGGCAAATATTCAAGCAGTGATGTTAAAAATATAGATTTTGTTACGCTTTAACACAACTTCTTACTTACTGAAAGGTTAATCATGTTTATGATCCGATATTATTTTTATTATAGACTAATGTAAAATAAAACATTTTACTGGCCCAAATATCGTTAACTTTCATTGATTATAATAAAATTTCAATGGTAAATAAGAAAGGGACCTGCTGTTGACCCTTGTGGCAGACCATAATTAGATTTATATCAAGTTTCTCTAATTGTAGAAAAACAAATCTACGTCAGAGCTGAAAACAAGCTCCCCCAAAAGCCACGGGTCCACACACACGTCGGGGACCAGGAGCGAAGACGAAGTTATACAGGGTTCACCACGACATAGGTTTGTGTTACCTTATCGAATGGCTTATTGTGTACAATAAAATATCTCTTTAGTTGAATTGATTATGAAAGCAAAAATATATTTGTTTCTTAGGTTTTCACGCACATCACTCATTAAATAAAACTAGTTTTTACGGGTTAATGCACGAAACTTTATTTATTTATTGACGTTTCGTAGCCTTTACAGGCTTCGTCGTCAGAATAAAACTTTTCTTTAATTTATCGAGCTACCTTCGAAAGACCAGGCTACGAAACGTCAATAAATAAATAAAGTTTCGTGCATTAACCCGTAAAAACTAGTTTTATTTAGCAAAAATATACTTTGAAGGGGTACGTCACGTTTTGTAAGCAAATAGTAAAACCTAACAACAAACTGTGTCGTTTCAAAAATGTTAATTGACGATGACGATGGACTTTATGGAAGTTGGGTAGGTCATCAGATGGGTGACAAAAAATATATTGTCTTCAGCACTTCTGTGCTTTGGAAAGCACGGTTGGTCCCGGCTGCATCTGCAGTTATTAGCACCCACCAATCTATTGTATTTATTTTGAGTTAGTCTTCTGACCACACACATAATTTGTTGAATAATATAATGAAGAAAATGATGAATTCAATAAAATGCTGTTCATGGGTATGAACAGCATTTTGTGAAACTTAAATATATAAGGCCATAGAATTTTGCACATAATTTTACTGCAACAGCTACCTTCTCAGACGGAATCTCCTAATACTTATCATGAATAAATTAGAATAGAGACAATTCTCATTTTTCTTTTTTAACAATCTTTACTGCATCCAGTTCTTACTCAGCTACTTCTAGTCACCACTCAGTGTATGATAGATTGAGCAGTGCTGGGGCACAGGCCTTCCCTATGGATGGAATAGGGAGATTGGGCCATGTCCCAACACGCGTGCCCAATGCGGATTGGCGGGTGCTAACGACTGCAGATGCAGCTGGGACCAACGGCTTAACGTGCCTTCCGAAACACGGAGGAACATGAGATAGAAGATTTTTGGTCACCCATCCAATGACCGACTACTGCGAAAGAAGCACTTCAACACTCGCAGCCGAACGCGCTAACAACCACCCGTGCCATCGAATCGACCTCCTCTCAATGTATACAAATATTATAAAGAGATGAAGATTTTTAAGATTTTAGGGGGTAATCCCTTAATCTACTGAACCGATTTTGAAAATTCTTTTACTAATAGAAAAGCACGTTATTTGTGAGTATCATTGGATAAATATTAACCTAAATAATGGATAAAAGGTTAGGAACAAAGCCCATTGCAATTGAATTCCACTGATCAATCACACTGGAGACAATTGCCAAGTTTCTTATTAAAAAGAAAGATTTTTTTTTGCCAACTGTAGTACTACATTCACAGACTAAATACAGCATCGACTACTATGGTGTTGTAGTGACAAAACAAAATAGCGTACACGGAATACACATCGGAAGTAAAACTTCTTTGTTTCTTAGGTTTTCACGCAACTCACTCATTAAATAAAACTAGTTTTTTACGGGTTAATGCACGAAACTTCATTTATTTATTGACGTTTCGCAGCCTTTACGGGCTGCTTCGTCGGAATGATTTTTTATTTAATTCTTTTCTTTAATAACCTAACATTAAGCGGTGCATAAGGCATAGGGGAAAGGAGCAGCGCACTCACCCCCCCCCCCCCCCCCCCCCACACACACACACACATGTATATAGTCGTGTGATGCTGGTGACGCATTTCCCGTTTCATCTTTTCCGTAGGTTTTTTCCATTTACACCCCGTACGCAAAGAAGTTTCATTGCAAAAAATCTCCAGCTCAGCACATATCATGACACAGAATGCCATTACGCTGGTTTTCAGCCAGAGGCCAAGGTATAAATATTGCTTCATATATATGCAGCGCTATGAGGAGCTCGATGGCGCAAGTGTTTAGCGGGTTCGGCTGCGATCGTTGAACTTAAGCAACTTTCGCAGTGGTCGGTCATTGGATGGGTGACCAAAAATTAGTATCTCGAGCTCCTCCGTGCTTCGGAAGGCACGTTAAGCCGTTGGTCCCGGCTGCATCAGCATGTGGTTAGCACCCACCAATCCGCACTGGGCCCGCGTGGAGGGTCATAGCCCAATCTCCCTATTCCATCCATAGGGAAGGCCTGTGCCCCAGCAGTGGGGAAATTAATAGGCTGATGATGATGATGATGATATGCAACGTGTAAGTATTTAACAAAGTATTGATGTGTCCAGTTCTTACTCGGCCACGTCGAGCCACCACCACCCCTGTGCGCCGAGGCACAGCAGCCTCACAGCTGCAGCAACCAGCATCATGGCAGGATCACCTAACAGGAGCAGGTGAGAGAAAGCTTACGGTAATACTGACATGACTGTAATAGACTAAATTCCTTAATCTCAAACTCAAAGTCAAAAAGCGGCGAAGGTCGAGCGGTCGTCATCGATTCGCTAAACTACAGCGGAAGACCTTGCATTAAGAAGAACCGGCAAGATACTCGGCAAAAGCTGCTTATTATATACACAGTCGTTAAGTTGCAAGATGACTTCGGAGATACTTCTGAATCCTCTAGAGCCTTGACCACCGAAGACGTGTAGCTTGCCTCTCGGTGTTTTATCGGTTACATTTCGGAGAGTGTGCGGAGGTATTACATAATTTGATCCCCCCTTCCCCTTTCCACCACCGGACGACCAGGCGCGGCGAGGGCTTCCACCCTTATGTTGTCAAAGTTCCTCCCATTCGCACGAAGCGATTTGCTTCGGCCTTCATTATACGAACGGCTAGGGAGTGGAACTCCTTGCCGAGGTCTGTTTTCCCGGACCAATATAATCTGGACGTCTTCAAGGTCAGAGTGAACAGGAATCTTCTAGGCAGGCGAGTACCATCCTAGGCCTCATCATCGCTTACCATCAGGTGAGATTGTGGTCAAAAGCATTGCCTATTTTGCATAAAAAAAATGGGTGCGTGTACTTATGTAGGCGCGTGAGAAGTTATCCTTCTTTGGCATCGTTTAAAATTAGTTTTTAATAGCATGCAAATAATTAATTACAATAAATTAATAAAAAGTCTGGAAAAGGACACAGTCAATAAAGTTCAGTTTTAATTTGAAAAAATAAATAAATAATCAAAATATTCAATTAAAATCGCTACTGAATATAATTTATTAGAACATATGTGATTTGCACTTGTATGAAACTCAAACACGTATTCCGAATATACAAACTAGAAACATGTGGATAAATATTATAAACTAGCGGCCCGCCCTCGCTTCGCTTCGGTGTAGAGCTGAAGTGTAGACTACAGTTTTTGTTCTCAGGCTTGTATTATACACAATGACATTCATCTATGATTCTTCTTATACCTGCATGCAAAGTCTCAGCCCGATCGGTTTAAAATTGATAAAGTTTCATACAAACTTTCATTCCTTATTTTATCCCCTTGGGATTTTCTTTATATTTTTTTCCGTAAGAACCTTGTACAGAGTATTAGAAAACTACAAAAAAAAAACAGCCAAATCGGTCAAGCCGTTTTCATGTTATGTCGTGACAACGGAAAACGGGTTTCATTTTTATATATATAGATATGAAAACAGTCTCTGTTCTAAATTCAAAACTCGTAACTTTTCCCGATGTTTGTTGTACGTGTTTCCCGCGCTAGGACCGCGAGTGGCCGCGCATGCGTACGGTGCGGCGGGCGACGCGGTAATGGCAGCGCGGCACATGAAGTTGGTCGCTAAAGCGATCAACTTCATGGTGTTAATTTTTTGTGTTACAGATGCGCGCGCATCTTAAAATTTCACTCTCATAATTTTTTTATAACGCGCCTAAAGAAGTATAACTTCAAAAAGAGAATTCGTCTTCCATTATATCATTTCAAATATAGATATAGGTGTATAGTTAGGTACAATAAGTTTTATTCTTAACTTTATTTAGTCTATTGCTAGTTTAAGTATGTAGGAAGCGGCATTAGATACCACAAGAAACATTATGTCCATCCAGTACGATCATTAATTCAATTCAATTTCTTTATTTTGTAACGAAACAAGGTAAAAAGATCTTAATGCTTAGGTACAAAAGGTATATGTTTCACTTATTCCTACCTTTTCAGACAACACAAAATAAAATTAACATACGGTCTACATAAACTCAACAAATTCATCTTATCTGTAATAATATAACAGCCATTTATAATTTAAGTATTCTTGTATGCTATAAAAACATTTATCCACAAGCTATTGTTTAACAGAGGATTTAAGATAGCTATATTTAAAAATTCTTAATTGATCTGGTAATCTATATATATATAAAACTCGAAGGTGACTGACTGACATAGTGATCTATCAACGCACAGCCCAAACCACTGGACGGATCGGGCTGAAATTTGGCATGCAGGTAGATGTTATGACGTAGGCATCCGCTAAGAAAGGATTTTGATCAATTCTACCCCCAAAGGGATAAAATAGGGAATGAAAGTTTGTATGAAACTTTGACAATTTTAAATCGATCGGACTGAGACTTTGCATGCAGGTATAAGAAGAATCATAGATGAATGTCATTATGTATAATACAAGCCTGAGAACAAAAACTGTAGTCTACACTTCAGCTCTACACCGAAGCGAAGCGAGGGCGGGCCGCTAGTTTATTATATATTTTAATGCACATTGTAAAGAAATTATTAGATACAACTGTTAATTTTGTAGCGGGATAGTAAAGTTTATTTTTATACCTACATAGAACGAAGATTACGATGAGATGCTTTGCTAATTTTTTTGAGGAGAAATATTCGTTTTATATCGATGAACAAACAAACAAAAGTATAAAATATATAAAAAGGCAACGTTACGTAATTTAATAATCTCTGCAATTTGTTCGACATGAATCAATCTATCGCAGTTCAAATACGGCTCGAATTTATTTCCTTTGTGTTATAAATGTCTTATCTCCATCAACTGCATTGCAACCGGCGCTCATGAAAATGGAAGCGGTTCTCTCTGGAACAACAAGGCTCCACAGTAATGATCCATCATTAGCACCTACCGCATTTCTTGAGCAAAGGATGCTTGGAGTTTTATTCTGATACAGTCCACGAGCATTGACACTCCCGACAGAGGCGGCGTAAGGCGTGGGCCACCACCTATGGCCTCGCGATACAATACAAGGGACCTCGCGCCTCAAAAATTTTTATGCATTGCTTTTTTATTATTTTATAAAATCAGTCTTCAGCTCGCCACAGAACAGGGCCTCGCGAAATCTGTCTTGCCCATATAAAATATAGGTCTTGCCCCGCCACTGACTCCCGACTCTCCTCCAAGCAAATTCGGGTCGGTAACTTCTCGCTACTGCGACAGCCCGGCGTGCCGCACACACTGATTCAACTATTAGTTTATTTCCAACTAATATTAAGTTTCTGGTATTTTTTATAATATGTTCCAATTGCATATATTTATTTTGGAATGTTACTTTTAAAATTATTGCATTCTAGCCATTCAACAATCGTAATCGTAAAAAAACCGGATTAGCAAGTTGAAGTGGCAGTGGGCTGGCCATATTTGCCGAAGAACCGATAACCGTTGGGGTAGACGAGTTCTGGAGTGGAGACCGCGTCTAGCCAAACGTAGTGTAGGACGTCCTCAGGCACGATGGAGTGACGATTTGCGCAAGGTGGCTGGCAGGAGCTGGATGCGAGTAGCCCAAGATCGATCTGAGTGGCGTGCAATTGGAGAGGCCTATTCCAGCAGTGGACTAGGATAGGCTGTTGATGATGATATTGATGATTCAATAATCCCAAGAAGTGTTGCATTAATATTATTTTCGTGTGATTATGTACCCTTCACTTTCAACGCCTTTAAAAACAATTGTGGTTAGGATAATTATCAATTTTATAATAGCCCTTACTCAAAAGTATTCTTGATGTGAGATTTAAAATTGGTCAGAGGAAGCTCAATCAGATCTTGGGGCATTTTATTAAACAGTGCACCCAGTGTAATACTACAATCCCGAATAAACCTCTTGATTTTTGGAGTCTGGAACGGGAAGCTTGTAATGTGAAATAAATATATTTTATAGCGAAAAACCTTTTGACGATGATATGTTTCTGGCTCTGAGGAGATTGATGGCACGGGTGGTTAGCGCGTTCGGCTGCGATCGTTGTGGTTAAGCAACTTTCGCAGTGGTCGGTCATTGGATGGATGACCAAAATCTTCTATCTCGAGTTCCTCCGTGCTTCGGAAGGCACGTTAAGCCGTTGGTCTCGGCTGCATCTGCAATCGTTAGCACCCGACAACCCGCACTGGGCCCGCGTGGTGAGTTAAGGCCCAATCTCCCTATTCTATCCATAGGGAAGACCTGGCGGCCATTCGCCTAACGGAAATGCTATGGAAAGCGCTAACGCTTACGATTTCATTTTGTTATTTCTAGCCGCCTGAGGTTTTCAAATGCCTCGCGCTCTATTTTTTTCTTTTGCAGTGGTAATAACAATATTAAAGAAAATGTGCGCGAGGTATTTGAATACCTTCGGCGGTCAGAAATAACAAAATGAAATCGTAAGCTTTAGCGTTTTCCAAAGCATTTCTGTTAGGCGAATGGCCGCCTGTGCCCGAGCAGTGGGGACATTAATAGGCTGATGAAAATGATGATTCGGCAAAAAACAAATATCTACGTTAATCATTGTGTAAACAGTTTTACCTAAACCGATAGCCTATTTTTGAATATTTTTTAATGTTGTTTCCAAAATTCGGTTTTCTTGATAACAATTTTTCATACTTTAGAGAAAATAATTAATCATTTAAAACTATTTTGCTTATTTCTATAATTCATTCTATTTTATTAAACTATTTTAAGCATTTAATTAATTGCTATCATCATCATCATCATCATTAATGTCCCCACTGCTGGGGCACAGGCCTTCCCTATGGATGGAATAGGGAGATTGGGCCATGACCCACCACGCGGGCCCAGTGCGGTTGGCGACTGCAGGTGCAACCGGAACCAACGGTTTAACGTCCCGAATCACGGAGGAACTCGAGATAGAAATTTTTGGTCACCCATCCAATGACCGACCACTGCGAAAGTTGCTTAACTATAACGATCGCAGCTGAATGCGCTAACCACCTGCGCCATCGACCTTCTTAATTGCTATATTTACTGTCTTTATCTTTAGATTATTTCATTTTCTTATAATTATTGACATTCTTATTATGGTAATTAGAATATAAGAACTAATAGATTAATATAAAAAAGAGTAAATAATCGAGGGTTACATTAAAATAAAAAAAAACAAGTATCTTATTTTAAATTTAGTTTGATATAAATATTAATTTTTTGAACCCAATTTTTGTGGCATGCAAGCCTCATTTGGGTGGCCTTGACCTACTTATTCAATGACCTTGACTAATTCGATGACCTTGTCCAACTGGATGACCTTGCCTAATTCGGTTACATGACCCCCACCCCAAAGCGACCCCTGCAAGCCGGTTTGACCTCTGCTCACTCGCATCATTGGTCCTTTGTTTTTTTAAGATCTTTAAAAAGTCCTATGAATGAAGGTTTCTGTGTAATATTTTTTCATTCTTTATTGTATGTCTATAAATTTTCCAGACTAAGCCTCATAAAGGAGATTGCTCAGCTTCCATACATGTTTGGCCTAAAGACCAATAAATCATGAAAAATTATTTCCTAGATTCGAAATTATATATAAATTACTGTAGAAACGAATATTATTGACGGACACCCCTGAGAACTTCTATAAACCATATACACTGAACATATTAAAATAATAAAAAACAAATAAGTTATATAGAAATTATGGATTAGATTCAGGTTTAAAGAGCATGTAGATTAACAGATAGTTGCCTGTTTTTAAAGTTAATGCATAAGAGTAACTTTTAAAATGATTTATTTTATCGATCTTTACAAAATAGATTCGTTTTTATGTTATATAAACAACTTCGATCAGTCTTTGGCTGAATGTTACTACACCCATAGCCATTAAAAATGATTCGTATGTTTTCCAAACCGGTAAAATTAAAAGTCCCTTTTAAAGTAAATATATTATACAAAGGTGTCCGTTGAAATCTAATGACTGTAAATTAAATTATAAATTACGCCAAGAATTACCGTGTATGTCAATATTTTTTGTGCATTTGGGCCAATTTGAGCAATCTCCTGTCTCAATAAAAATGAGTACCTATATAAAATTAACTTTTCAATGTATTTACTCAAAAAATGCTTTACGGAGGTTGTATACATTGTTCGAAAGTTCAAAATTACGGGCCATTCAAGGGAGAGTGCGGTAAAACGTTTTATCGCACTATCCCATACATGGCGTCGCCGCCATGCGTATTCTTTGCGGTTCTTATTTAAATTTCGGTCAAACCTCCTTGGAAGCGCTCTTCATCTATACCATTGTCTCACTTCAATTCTATAAAGATGTAGTTCTAATTTTCACCACCCGCACGTGGCGCCATTAGGAAATGAGCGCCATTTTCTCATTAGAAAAAGTTTGCTTCTTTACAAATTAGGTATAGGCAGTGTTGCCAGGTCCGGTTTTTAAAAATCGGGAGGCGTCATAGAAAAAAACAGTAAATGTAGGGAAAGATCTGCAAGAAAAACAGTAGATGCAGAGGCGTACTTTTTCTGATTTTCACCCCCCCCCCCCCCCTAGAATTGGTAAATCAAATCAACATAACGTCCAGAAACGAATGTGTTTCTGCGACTTCTGCCACTCCTTAAAGCTAGTTTTTAGACAATAACATTCATTTTATAATTATTAAGGTTACCTACATGGCGGAAAATGCAACTCAACATGCAATTTCATAAAGGAAATCGTATTCTAAAAAAACAGGAGATTCATGTAGAAAAACAGTAGAACAGGAGAAATTTTAGAAAAACAGGAGATCTCCTGTAAAATCTGGAGACCTGGCAACACTGATAGGCAGGGCCGTTTTTAACCTATTGGAGGACCTGGGCATATTTGGATAATGGGGCCGCTATGACTTTGATGTGGACTATGACTTGAAATGGAGCGAATCATACTGATGAGTGTACTATAATGCGATTCAAATAAGAATAGGAAAGCCAATGACCTCTCTCTGTCAAATGTAGCTTGAAAAGTACGGTTTGCAAAAAAAGACTTGGAATCGTTTTTTAGCACTCCGCTAATTCAAGAATAAAAACCAAACATTTGTAAACAAACAATAACAAATATTGATAATTAATATACAATAACAAATATCGATATTTTTTTTTCACTTATTGAGCTTTGGCCATGAATAGTTGATAACCTAAATCGTCAACCAAATGTCACTTTAAGTTGCGTTCAGAAACTCGATTTCAAACTTTCGTTTACATAAAGGATGCATGTTCGTATGTAATAGTGCATGATAATTCATAACTACTCCTGCTATAATGCAGAGATGAGCGGAATAGAAGAGCTAAATTCTCGATTAATGTTTTTTCTCAGTCTTAATAAATAAATATTATTAAAAATCGGTGGGTTTTTTTTTCTCAATGTTAGTAAATAAATGTTATTTTAAAAAATCTGATGCTTTTTCTCACTTAATCTTAGTAAATAAGTTTTATTAAATAAAAACTATTTTTTTGCTCACTCTACCTATTTGGTTTGAATTGACAGCTATGACATCACAATATGGCGCCCAGTCGGTCCTATTCTTAGTTGAATCGCATTATACGAGTACTGATGATTTTTCTTTAAAATGTGTATGTGCTTAGTATACCATTATTTATCTAAGCATGCTGAAGTCAGAAAGCCAAATTTTTGGGTGAGAGTAGAAAAGCTTAGCTTATGTAAAAGTTAGTAAGCTAGTAATCTGTAAAGTTGGTATTGTCAGTAATTTAGGTTCGATTTCATCGAATTATATAAGTTTTTTGGTAATAAATATTGGTTGTCGTTTGGTGATCTAACAGAAACTAGGGACTCGTACACTCTCTGGGAATCGAACTCTGGATTAATCGGCTCACAATTTTTATTTATTATTTATTTAAGCGGGCTACTTAGCTAAAGGCAAAACACAAAAAAAATTTAAGCATTTACTGTGAATAATATTTTAATTAAAAACAAACAAAACAATAACAACGTATCTAGAAATCTTAAGCAAAGCTAAGCGTAAGCCAATAAGAGCGTTATGGTTACGGAGTTTTTTTTTTTTTTGTTTCCTCCCAGGCGGGGGAGAGGGTGAGAAATCCTCATGGATCCAGCCGGCTGTAAGGTTATGTCAGACTCTTACTGACTAAAAAACACCCTTTATTCATGCTTATGGCCAGAAGGGCCTTACAAGCTTCATCTGAAGCGATCAACCCCCGAGAGGGGGATGATGCGGCGCTGCGTTAGTTTAAACTAGTGCATAGTTTAAAATAACGCAAAATGCGCTTAGAGGACAAGTGCGCTCAGATGTGCACTTGAAACGGGAGGGGACTGAGAGGAGTCGAACCTCTCTGTGTCGGAGGGGCGGGTTACGGAGTCTCGGGGATCGTGTTTTATAAGCGGCGTCTGCGTATGCGCCGAGAAGGGATCT